TAAAGGTATCAAGGGACTATGGACACTTTAGCTCTTCAACATGATAAAAGTGTTGAGATGGCGTGGAAGAGAGGTGGATGTTTGTGCCATCAGGAGGGCTGATCAGCTCCACGTGTCTGGTCATAAATCCCTTTCCCCAAGTTACAGGGACCCAGTGATATGGGGCACTGGACAGAGCACAATGAGGGAAGCTGTTTAGCCAGCACCTAACTGGGCTTGGTACCCACCACAACCATCTGCTGAGTTTCCTCTTGGCTTACCCAGCAACCACCCCCAAAGGCTCAGTGATCTGTGCTCGACCTTGCAACTGGAAAAGCCAGCCCCACCTGTGCACAGGAAGCAATGCTTACCCAACAGGTAAATGATGGGGTGGGAGGAGTGTGCTCAATCCCCAACTGCAGGTGAAATGAATGCTATCAACATACCCTGTCCAAAGGGATAGGTAGGAGTTAGGCTTCACCAGAGCTAAGGCGTCCTAAATCGCACTTTAAAATGTGCTCTTTTTGTTGTGAACACACAAAATCCTTACCTCTTTGGTAAGAATGAAAGCCAAACAATAAAAATAAATTCTTACCAACATAAACAACCAATTAGATTAAAGATTCGATGTAGTTGATTTATTTTTAATCAAATAATAAAAAATTCAGTTTGTGTACTGGACCCTGGTTCTGCTTTACATAAGTTAGGCATCTATGCATTAAAGAATGTTAATAAAGTTTTCCTTATGCCTAGGCACAGTGGAACATACCTTCAGTCCCAGCTAATGGGGAGACTGAGGCAGGTGGAGCCCAAGTTCGAGGCCAGGTTGGGCAATTTAGCTTTGAGACCCCGTCTCAGACGGATAGAAACTACAAGGAGCTGGGGATGTGGCTCAGCAGGAGAGCCTCCCCAGGTCTGATCCCCAGGACCAAACGAAACACAACCAAACCCTCCTTTTCCTTAGTTGATTTTAAAATGACATTTTATTTCTATATCTTTACATTTAAAATATTCAAATGATTACACATTGACTTAAGCAAAGGACTGTAGAAGAAAAGTCAAAACGTTCACTTATTAAAAATAATAAAAATTGCTTTATTTGGAAGGAGAAGCACACAAGGTAATCTTTTATTCAACAAATACAAATTGACATTTTATTCAATTAAGAAAGATTGTTAGTGTGGTTGGAAACCTTTACAATAAATATTATTGTGGGGACTCTCAAGGCAGGCGAGGGTTTGATCTATCGCTTACAGCGTCTGACCATATATTCTATTTTAGCTTGAAAAGCTATATTTATATGCTTAGATGTGAACACTGCTGGATTTTTTTTTCCTTAAAGAAGAAAACTGATAGGCTTCTGGGCTCTTTCTCCATTAGGTGTTTGGGGGGAGGGTTGGTACTTTGTGGTGAAAGTAGAAATATGTTCTTGAAAACATATGTATCTAAACAGTTCTGAATATTTTTAAAAACCTAAATGAAAACAGAAAATCCACAACTGAATTTCCTCTTGCCTTTTTACACGTGGCCAAGAAATTCAGTGCTACAAGTTTATGAAGAGCTACATTATTCCTCCCCCTCACTGGTGTAGCTAAGCTTCTTGTTTACTTGGGACATCACACTCCTTTCTTACAAAAATTAATTTCAAATCAGAAAGGCAGGATAATAACTACTTTCAGCACAAAAAAATGCACCAGAAAGAGATTGCAGCTTAAGCACAGATAGCATATAATTAGAATGAGAAAAATCAAAGTATTCTTGAACACACAGTGCTTTAATTTTTCTCCTGATGGACTTTCAGATTATCTTTAAAAGATCTATTAAAAATCCTCCTCTTGAAAAGCTCTATTAAAACCACAGACACTTGGAGATACAGGAGAGGGGGAAAAAATGGGTCATCTTATAAAATTGATTATGTGAGCTCTCTGCATTCAGTGCATATGTCAGCAACAAGGAAAAACAATCCCCAGATAAATTCTGCAGATACTTCCTTCTGGAGAAAAACCTGGGCCTTTTTTGTGCATTATGAAGCAAAGGGGTGTGGTGGGGGAGCCGTTAGGTTTCATCCATGAGCATAAACGGCAGGCTGGTTTTCTGAAAAGAGAGCCAACCTCAAAATAGCCCAGAAAAAAAAAAAAAACTATAAAAAAAAGAAGGGTATATTTTTTTTCCATCTATATTTGGAATTTTGACCATCTTATTTTAAACAAGCCAGAGATTGCAAGCTTCAATCTGTTTGGATAGAAAAGAATTTATATAAATGTTTTGTTCAAGCCCAAGAGGGAAAGAGAGTTTAAATATACAGGGCGTGGAAGATGCATGTCCAACTTCAGAACAGCCCTGTGCACAGAAGAGTGAGGACAATCGACCTTCTGTTAGCCATTCTCAGCAGTCCTTACGCTTAAATATCTTGCGATTTGCAGCGTCGTTTTAATGACCCCAACAGTAAGAGATTAACCAAAATTTCATAACTGTCCTGCTCTCCTCCTCTCATGGCCCCCGGAGGGTGTGGGGCAGGCAGCAGGGGAGTATCAGGAGGTCAAAGAACAAATGGAAACAAAATCTGTGTTTTGCACTCTTTCTCTGCACTTGAGAAAGAAAAACGAGTCAGATAAATCTGTTTAATGCTAAACCAAATCTCTTTAATTCCAGTCAGCTCCTATCGTTCAGTCACTGGGTCTGTGTGTGGAAAAATTCATGCTAATTCCCCCTAGCAACAGCCTCAGCCTATCAGGAGACTTTATGTCCCATGCAGCTGCCAGCCAGAGAGAATAACTTAAAGTAGGTCAGGCCTGTATTTCTAAAAATGCTACGGTCTAGTAACCCCACTGTCCCGTCTGTCTGCCCTGCCCCATAATAACCTCAATTGCTTGGTGACACAATGACATACGATCCCGTTAGAGTGCAATCACATCATGCTACATTATTCTGCTGCGGGCGTGACTGCCGGGTGAAGGACCCTCGGAGGGGCAGCATTAATCAGGCAGGCATTCATGTCCACCAGCTCTTCTCTCTGGAAATGGGGACTGCATTAATGACCAGCTGTTTGAACTAACACAAACAAAATAATGTCTTCCACCCTGTTGGGTGCGCGGAACACACTATTCTGATCTGGCAGGTTCCGCTTCTTGACTAAATCGAAGATGTAAATTAAATGGGCTCAGACAATGTCAGCTTTGGCAACCTCAAAGTGAGTATATTTAAATTATATTACATGTGATTCAAAAAGCTATTGATTTAATACACACAGCTCTGCCTGCCGACAATTTTCCCTAATCCACATTCGAAAAGGAAAATGCATACGTGGGTAATGCAATACATATGTGCATGTTACCCAGGAAGCCAAAGGCACAGAACTGAACTAAAATTGACTTCTCTTCGGGCACAGAAACAAAGCAGGTCAGGAGTAATTGTGCAGTGTGAATACAAATACAGATACAGAATGAGAGCGTGGAGGGGCGCCTAAAACAAATAAGAGTAAGCATTCCAAGCCTGCCGGCCAATCAGCTCCTCCCTTTGTCTCTTTGTGATGCTGTCATAGCACCAAAGTCTCCAAGCACAGGAGACCACGGAGGGGAGCGAATGTGGCCCTTGAATCTCAGCAACTGTGGGACCCTGGCTTTCCACAGGATTATGAACACACGGCTGTTTGGCTTTAAGACAATTAAAGCTCCTTCCTGGCTTAAATGAGAGCTATCAGCAAAGCTCAGAACCCCACAGCCATTTTTGAATTCTAAAAGGGGAATGTTAGAATTCAGTCGTCGCTGTTTGCTTGAATGTAACTTTTTACTTCTCTCCACTGAAATGCACAAAAATAAACAGTGATGTGTGGACACAGCGGAGACTGGCATTGCAGCTTCAGGGAAATGTGTTGATAGAGCTCACAAGATGAGCCTGCGTTTTTAAGGGTTCACTGTATCATTTAATGAACATAATGAACATTAGCCCCCCCCCCACGCACACACATGCAGATTGGCAATTCAGCCTTCAGTTATGCAGAATTCAGCAAGTCTTCTACATGTAATCCATCCGTATTTGATTTACAAACACAGAAAATTCCTTAATCCATCTGCCCTTGTTTGAACTGTGTGTGATAACTTAGTTATGACTATCTCCTTCACTTTGTGGCACACATCACATAGTTATTCTTGGAGAGATACAGTCACTGACGCAACCATGAACCGCTAATTACAAGCTGCTGACATTCTGCTTGTCTGTGCAGCTTTGAAGTCCTGTTTTTCTCTTCTGGGCTTGCTCAGTTTTCCTTCTGCTTCCTTCCCCCTCCCCCCAGCCCCAACCCTGACTCCCTCTTTCCTTCTTTCCACTTGAAGCCCCTCGGGATTCACCTTAGGACTATCTGGAGAAAGGGGTGAGAGCCATCAGATTCTTCCCCTTGTTTCTCCCCCCTCTCTGCCCTCTCTCCCTGCACACAGATCTGCAGCTTGAAGTACAGTAATAAGATCCTCGCCCTGCCCCGCCCGCAGGAATGCATCAACAGCTGGCCAAACATAATCCAACACACAGAGCTGCCTTTGTAGAATTAGTAACAAACAGGGCAAGGGCCAGACAAGGCGTCCCAGAAGAGCTCCCCATGACAACTGGGAAAGCTCCTCACCCCAGGTTGGAGCCAGCTCCACCGAGCTGGGATCCTGCACCACGACTCGCCCTTCTAAATCCACAAGCCTGGAATGCCTGGTCCCAACCTGGTAGACAGAGGCTGCCTGGAGGACACTGGCCTCTCCAAAAGGCAAGTTAGATGCAAGCGTTCTCCATGTTGCAGTGCCGTACTCCGCCTCCTGGCACACGCCCTGTGAGACTCAGCACCAGTCACTGTCGGGATATCTGTGCCTGCACCTAACCATCTAGCCGTGAGCCTGAAGACCACCTCTCCTCCTAGAGAAGGGTTTCTTTTTTTTTTTTTCATTTGAGGCAGACCCTGGCATTGTGAAGCATGTAAATATAACACCGTATTCATCTCCACCAAGCATTTAGCATCTGAAGCCTGTGGTGGCCAGCTGGTCTCAAAGTCATCTGGGATACATTTATTTTGATTAAATTGATCACATTTCTATTTACGGGATAGAATTTTTCACCATACTGAATACAGCTGTGTTTACAGGGATCTGTAGAAGAAGAAGAAAACAAAAACCCACAATCAGCCCCAGCCCAGCACAGAACATTCAGAACTTCAAGGAGTTAAAACCGAGGGGGCTTGCTTTTATAATAAAAAGAAAATTCTGCCAGCAGCTGCTCTGGCCATGCTTTCTGGCTAGTCAGGAAATGGGTGTTGAGCTAGAGCCGAAAACACAAGCCGCAATCAAGCCCGATCCAGCAGGGTGACAGACTTCCTGTGCAAAATGGTCAGCAATCCCCCCAAGTCTCTGCCCGCGTGGACATGCATTTCAATCATGCTGCACGGCTGCTGTTTTCTCTGGGGACACTGTATAGTCACCTAGCCCATCAGTTGCTTCCTTGTCAGCACCGGGGACATCCAGGCTACAGTTTACAGTTCCTCCATCCATGTGCAGGGTTATAAATTATGCCATCCTCCCTAGACAGAGAGCGCAAAGCGCAGAGCGAGCGGCAGACGACCACGGCATTCCGCATCTCCGTCTCCACGCGTCCCCTGACTCTGCCCTTCTCCAGCTCTGCCTCGCCAGGCAGACACATCAGATGCCTTGTTTATCCATCTTCAGCTCCACTCTCGGAAATGCCACCATATCTCGGCCTGGGCGGTGCCCCCTGACCAAATCCCCGAGAGCAGCCCGGGCTGGGCGTGAGGAGGAGGAGATGCCGCGCCCTCCCCTGCGCAGCGAGGTGGGCATTGGACGTGTAATATTCCTAGCTCCCCTGCCCAGTCCTTTGGCATCCTCTCTAACCAGCTTCACCCTGTCCTCCAAGTCCCCTCATCCAGCTGCGAGGAGACCCTGGCCAACGCTACGCCACCAGGTCCTTCTTCTGCAGGGCACAGAGACACCATTCCGGTCGGTGTGCACCACGGCGAAGCCCAGGAGGGTGACGGCAGAGAGCGCAGGTAACCAGGGTAAGCGTGGCGTGCCATGGCGATGCAGCCCTGGAGCTGGGAGGAAAGACGGTCTGGCTTCAGAATGTGAAAAAAAAAAAAAGAAAAAGAAGAAGAAGAAGAATTAAAAAAAAAAAAAACACAAAACAGCGCAGCTCTGCGCCTGTGGGGGTGGAAAAAACAGATACAAGCCATTAAAAAAAAGGCAGAGTTAAAAAATCAAATCTCAAAACAAAGCAAAAAAAGGAGTACAGAGATCTGAATACTTCATGCGACTTTTATTTCTGATGTTTCTCGGTTTATTGGCCTCCCCGCCCCCTCCCAAGTCTCCCCGGTCCCTGAACACTCCCCTCTGTCCACGAGTACCGAGTCACAAATGCTGTTGCTCCAAAGTGCCGCAGACCCAGCATCACATGAGAAGCCACATGACGGACTAGAGTCGGCTGCTGATGTGGTCAACTGTTTCAGGAGGCAGGAGGGTGGGAGGGAGAGAAATCTCAAGTGAGACATGCCCCTCGCACTGCCAGGAAGATATTTCCTTAAAAGAACAATGAGAAGCCTGCATCGCTGGAGAAATGCTTGAGCAAACATATACTTTTACATATGCACACTTGTGTGGAGACCGTGGGCACTTGAAGCCATCGGGGATGCGGTACCACCGACTCTAGCTGGATGGCAGCAATATTATTTCTAGCGTGTGTTCATCGGAGCTGATTCCACGTAAGTGGATTCCTGAAAAGCACACACCGTGTCTTCATAGCATGATCAGGCTTGGAAAACCAATTCTATTATCTCTCCTTGCAATCTGTATCTGAACCTGCATTCTGAATAATTTATTTTTAGACTAATAAGATGCTTGCCAAGACTGCTCCCTTTCTTCAGCAAGCGGCGCAGGCAATGTTCACCCAAGTGGGAAAACCATGTCCTTTTGTAGGGAGAAGAGAGGAGACGGGTTTTCATCGTTTAAAAAAAATAAATAAATTGCAATTCCTTATTTAAAGGCATACAAACACATGGCAATATAATTCCCTCACAATCAGTCATTAAAAACAAGCAAAATACCTCTGATTCATTGAATTGACATGTCTCTTATTTGCAGCTTGGGTCTCATGCTGGCAAATGGGGGTGATTTTCTAACATAGTACATGGCTGCAGCCAGAGTTCGTAAGCCACATGGATGCTGCTACTTCTCGGCCAAGCCAGAGCCCACAGTGGCTTTCTGGGGCACCCTTCTGCTGAGGTGCGGCACTGCCGGGTAGGTAGGTTTCCTGGTTACAATGAAGCATGGGATGGCCTCAGGGCCTCTAGATCCTGTCGCCTCCCCTGGAATCAAAGAAGTTTGGGACATCATTCTCAACATGTGACAATGACATCTTTTTAGAAAAAGAGTGGATCATGACAGCCGACTGCAATGGGAGGCTCTTTAAATAGGTGGGTCACTGTCTGCCACTCTTCTTCTCTGACTCTGCAGTTGCCAAGGTGATGACCATCAACTCCTTCGTGGTGGCTCATCAGCCTCCCCCTGAATGTGACGGGGACTGTCCCCATCACCGAAGACCCGTGTTGAGCAAGACAGGCATGTTCTCTGCCATCTTGGAGCTCAATGTCTCGTAATTGCATGCCTCTTTTTAAAAATTCTTTCAAATACTTCCTCCTCCCACTTTGAATACTCCAAAGTTGACCGTGGGAGATGCCCGGCCGCCACCTCTCCACTTTCCTCTCCATCATCCCCCACTTCCTATGGCTTCTTTCCTTACAAACGACCCTGGAAGATTTCCTCGACATTTCCTCGGAGGGAAGGCTCCGCCCTCAGCCCCCGTACTCTGCCTCCCCTCTGGTCTCCCTCCTTCTGTTTCAATCTGTCTGGCTGTCTGCCCCAGACGACTCCTCCACCACCATGCTCACGATGTCACAACTGTCGTCCAGAGGATCTCCACAACCCTCCATGTGCAGCACTGTGGTCGGCCCCTTGTTCCTTCATGTTCATGTGCTACTACTCAAGATCCCGTCACCTGCTGGGACACCACTTAGACAGCGTGGTCCCTTCCTGATTCCCTCCACGCATCCCTGGTTGAATCAGAAACAAAATGTGGCTTATTTTTAATAACAGGCATAAATCAGTGTTAAGGGAAATTATGACACAAGATATACAGTCCCTGCCCGTAGGAAATGTACCCTTTTGCTATGGGTACTACCCATGTGCTTGCCTAGCTGTCTCTGAGTCATATAAATAACAAATAGGTCTAATCTGTCCGTCCATTCTCTGTGGTTGGATAAGAAGTGCCATACATAGAAGGGCTGAGAAGGGAAGAATTACTTCTACCTGAGTATCCCGAAAGGTTCCCAAGGGCCCCCAGGATTTTCAGTGAGCTATGAAGGGTCTGTCCAGCATGGGGTAGGGCTCCCGTATTCAGGAGGAATACTGAAGGTAAAACGAGCACTCTATGTGCCACGTCTGTTCTAAGCATCTTAGATATATTAACCTACTGAATCTTAACAATCCTATCAGGAAGATACTTATTAAAATGTTATTTTCAATGATATATAAGAGAACTTAAATAAGTTGCCCCAAACCACCCAGTGAGTGAGTGAAGAGGTGCATCTGCCCCCTAAGCCCGTGGCCATAACCAGCAGGCTTCGCCGCCCCAGAGCACAGGAGGACAGTGGGGAGGAGATCAGAGGGTGAGAAGACACAGACGCCTGATGGGGGTCGACGTGGTTTGAGCAGGGCCTCGGTTTTGGAGGAGAGGCACAGCCCACCTTCCCAGGCTACTGGGAATGGTGACCAAATGGCAGGATAATGAATCTGGAAGTCGGGCCCAAGACGGAGGGAGAAGAGGGAGTGAGCCATAAGGAGGCAGTCAGGGGCTCCTCCAACGGCCTCACCCCAAGGGACGGCACCTGCGCCCTGGGAGCAGCAGCAGAAAAACTGGAACAGACCCTTCACACGGATCTTTATGAAGAAAGCGATGGCATTGCCGAGGTTTCTGGGGGACAGGGAGGGATGGTGGCACAGTCCACTGCCTGGCTTTCAAACACTCCTGGAACTTAGCAGTTGTCTCATTCATCTGCTTCCCCAGCACCTACCAAAATGCTCGACAGCTTTCTAAAAATAATGAATAAAAAAAATGAAACCAATGAGAAAATCAGAAGGAAAAACCCACCTGTGAATCTGGACAGCCAAGTGGTTTTGGTGGTTGGCATCCATGGTGACTTTCCGTATGGAGGAAGAGACTCCGTTTCTTCTCCACCTTTCCCCAGGTTTGGCTCTCCCTGCCCGCCCCCACCGCACACCTGGGCGGCTGCTCATGGAGCTGTCCCTGGCCAGGCTGAGCCTGCACCACCCGCTCGGCGTTCAGCCCCCCCCCCCCAAGTCTCTAGCTGGAAAGCTGGGCTTATCGAGGTGATAGAATAAGTGTGCCAACAACTTGAACTTCTTTTATTTGTTTAAATAGCAAAGGGAGAAAGCACAGAAGTTTATCAGCCTTCTCACAGGATCTCAGCTAACCAGAATACTACGTTAACAGAGGCACCTCATTTCTTGGCCCGTTAATGAAGGTTAATATGACATACTGCCTCTGGCCCTGGGAGTAAAAAGGGGTGTTATTGCCTCATATTATAGCTGGGGGGAGAAAAGTGTTAATAATCTTTCTCATCAGCCGTAAAGAATTGAGCTTTTAATACCCAGATATATTTTAGTAAAAGCGTCGTATATCATCTTTAAGCAGAGTTCGAGAACAATGTTAGATAACTAGGGCATTCGAAAGTCTACATACATTAGAGACTCAAGAAATTGTTAAAATGCAGCCTAAGACAATTTTTTGTTGGGATGTATTTCTTTCTTTGATCACTTTAGATATTTCTCATCTTTTCTAAACATTAAGTTGAAACCTTGGATCTTGGAAATAATTGACTTATTTTGAATAAATGGCTAAATGTGTGTACAAGGTCATTGTTCAATTCAGCCATGGGCATCTAGGCATTAGGTGGACCTGCCAATCTAAGAGGGATCATGGACCGTTGAGCGAGGGGCCGAGATGCTCACATACCACATAGGCCCAGAGTACAGTACTGTGACCTAGGGAGGAGCTTCCCCTCCCTGACCACAGGGCGGTATCGTATTAAATAATAGGAATAAATAGCAGAGATTGGTAATGAAAAAAAAAAAAAAAGATCTGTCCTCTGGACAGGAGGCCAAACACCTGAAGACTCACCATAAAAGGCATGACCTGGATGATAGGAATATTCAACAGATGGAGATACTTAAATCCTTTAAGAGAATAGATGCTAAGCCTTGTCCCTGCGATCCGGGGACACAGGAAGGATGTGATGATAGGAAGGGAGGGGCCTGGGGCTTCACTGGACGGTGGCTAGAGGGCTTAAGAGCCCCTCCATGTTTTCTGAGCTCCCCCAGTGGATGCCGAACTGAGAGCAGCTCTTCACAGGGCAGATTGACAGAGTGCTGGCAGGGGACGGACTTCCCTCTCTCTGCTCGCCAGCATCATTACCCTGCTGCACTTTATGGGGGCCAAATGGCACATTGGAGGTAGCAGGCCTGTTTGTTCACCTGTGAGGGGTCTGACCTTAGACTTTCCAGAGCTCCGTCAGGAAGTCGGTTTTTCCATACTCTTTACAGTAAACAAAGACAGTGTGGCTGGGCTCCAAATGTTACAGAAGGTCAGGGACCAAACTGCCTCAAAGACAAAGAGCGCTTCCAGAAATTGAAACACAAAATAGATGGGAGCGCCGTGGACATTCCAAACTGCGCTCCTGTTCACTCTCAGCGGTGGCTTGGAACAATGTGACACACAGCCGGCGGCCGCGCATAATAGAAACAGAATCATGAAGTCCCAGGTGCCGGAACGCACCTAAAGGTCACCCACCGGCTGCAGTCTACACGGTGAATGCTGCCCTTTAGGGTATCTCCTCTGTGCAACCTCCAGGCTCTGAGGGACACTGCCAATGGCTGCCCACTCAGGCCCAAGGAGAAGCCTCCTGGGAATGCAGCAGCCTGAGTGCCTGAGGGCCCTGGGTCAAGAGGTCCAGCCCCTGGCAGGGGTGCTCAGGTAGGTAGCCTCTGTCCACCGGTCACAGCTTAGAAGTGTGGGGCTCAGGTCTGCTGCCGTCTGCCTTGCGGTCCCCTGGTGTGGGGGACCTCTGTCGCCGCTGCCCCTCGGCCTTCCCTCCTCTACACAGATACTCAGTCGCTTCAGCCGCTGCCCTGGGCCTTCATGTCCGTCCAACCCTCCCCTTCCCAGGAGGAACACCGTCCAGTTCATCAGCAGGGTCTTAGATGACATGCCTCAGGAGCAGAACACAAGACCCCACGTGTGGCCACACGCAGCACAGTGGCCCCGGAGCGTCCCTCCCTCCAACCGAGCGTATTTCAGCACGCGCAGCCTGGCGGGCCTTCACAGCATCACTCTGGGGCCTCTCGAAGGGCTTGGCTGGGCCTGGGTTCACACACCTGCCACCTAAATCGTGCTGCTGCCATCCTCAAACAAATTGCATTTATTTGCCTTGGTTTTGGGCACCACGCGCGAGAAGGTTCTATGGCATTATGAAGTGTTTAAAAAGGAAAGACGTAGTAGTCAACTGCCCTTGAAGAAGACCCGTCCATTGTCCCCATGGGAAGACCCAACCCGAAGGCCCGAGATCCTACGGGCAGCGGCCACACCTCTGCTTGCCTGTAGCATGGCCGCACCGCAGGGAGCAACCGGGGCTGATTCCATCCACCAGCCTGACTGGGAGGAAAACCACTGGACACAAGCTGGGCGCTCTGGGTTCTCAGGTTCTTCCACCAACTGTTTCCTTGCGCCTCAATCACAGGGAGGTCATTTCTCTTTTTCCAGACCTCAACAACAAGCCCCTCCGCCCAGCCCCACACCACTCTAGCAGCTCATGTCTGAAACCTTAATTAAATTTAAAAAGTCTCTTCTTTAATACAGAATAAATAAAATGTCCACTAAAGTTTCCTATAGACTTTCATTGAAGTTAGCTTAAATGTCACGTGAAATTGTGTCTCAAAACATGTAAGAAAATGGGTCAATGGCAACTTCACAAATCAAAAAACACATGTGTCCAGAAGGGTTTTGTTTTTAATGTGCCAACTAGGTAAATTGGGTACGTCTGACTAGGGCTCCTGGAGTCTTTACTCTGATAAAATAACAGTTTGAACAGGTGAGCCAATTACTGAGCTTCTTGCAGTAAGGAATAAATGTCATAATGTGATATCATCACTTTCCTATAATTCAAATGGCTTTAATTAACTACACAGAGAGAACCTTTAGGTTGAAAGATCCAATTTCTCTCAAGTTTTTAACCATGGCTGCCTGATGTCCATCAGCAGTTCTCACAATGGAGACACTCTTCCGGCTCGGAGCCAGCAGGGAGGGAAGGATGGCCTGTGGTCAGGAGGGGCATGTGCCAGCTCACCCAAGGTCTTGCTGGGGGAGCAACGTTAGCTGCACGATGAGATCCTCAGACAGACCCCCCCAACCCTAGGAACACTAACCTGACAGTATAACAGTTGGCCTGTTCACTCTTATTAGACTGTGCAATTTTTCTTAGATCAAAAGAACCAAAAAAATAAAAATTGGAGAAGTGGTTGTCACATTCTCAAAACCTAGTCCCATTTTGGCCCAGGCTGTCTGTCTGCACATCCTCCCCTTTTTTGGCTCATCTCTGTTCCCCTGGAGAACAAGCCGTCTGTGGGCGCACAGGTTCTAGCTAATAGTCTCTGGTTATGTGTCAGGGAGGTGGAATAATGTTCTGGTTTTTGAAGATCTTCTTTAACGTGTAAACTGTCTGTATTAGTCTGTTTTCTGTTGCTATAACAAAATATCTGATGCTGGCGACTTTCTATTAAAGATGTCTACTTGGCTCACAATTCTGGTGGCTGGAGGGTTCAAACAGTCTGGAACCAGGGTCCTGGCATGAGATCCCTGACTGTGTTGTGACATGTGAAGAAACAGAAAGGGAGTCATCCCCTTGAAGAAGGGGCCAGCCTTGTGGATTGACCTCACTTTCCAGCCTACTCTCCTGAGAACCTGGTCCTGGGTGGGGAAGGTGGAAAATACTGGGGAACAATATTGACCAAGTTAGACTGTTGTATCATGTGCATGTACTAATATATAACATCAGATCCCACCATCATGTATAATTATAATGCAACGGTAAAAATGCAGAACAATGCAACTCACTCCTTGAGATCCGAATTAACCCTTTGCAAAGGCAGCACCTGTGACCTGATCACCTTGCAGGAGGCTCCACTTGGGAAAGGTTCCCCCTGCACCCAGCATTGCCACAGAGCACTACACCTCCAGCGCATGAGCTTCAAGAGACACCCTCAAACGATATTCAGACTAGAGCACTACCCCAGCTATTTGAGATCCTGGAGATCCGCGGTAATATTTTCTCCAACTTTCTCTCATTTTTAGAAGCCTCAGCGCTGAGTCCAGTGACATTGTCTCAGCCTCAAATCTCTATGTGGAGGCCAGGCAGAGACTTCTCTCCACGGTCCCCAGGCTCGAGCAGCAAACATCATGCAGCTCTAGGGAGCCTGAACAAGAAGCCACAGCAGCACGATGCACATGTGGTCCAGGCTTAAGTCGAGACACAAAGTCAGACATGAACTTGTTGATATTTCAAAATACACCTCAGTAGCAAATTGTTACAGTGCCCAGTGGCATTTAACATGGAACAAAGGTATAGATAACTTTATTGACGGCAACAGAATAGAGACTTTAAAATGCAGTCAGCACAAATGACCACATCTCCGTTCAAATAGTGAGGCAGACTTTCAGAGGAAACTTCAAAAATGACTTAAATGGTTACATTCAGGATGCCAAACACAGACGGTGGCCCCATGGCTACTAAGGCAGCGAAGCCCCCTCAAGCAGCGGAGGCAACCAGCAGATGGGCTCCGTCTGCATCCCAGGGCCTTCTCTGCAGGCCCCAAGAGATCAGTGTCACGGCACCTATGGGAATGAAGAGACAGGGGAGGGAAGAAGAGACTTCCACATCGAGAGGTTCGCCCTCTCCTCCACTGGCTTCAGTGAATGGCTTATGTAAAATTCATCCTCTATGATCAAAGAGATAATTAGGATTTCAAGAGAGAGTTCTGGAACATGGAGATGATTCTGGTCCAGTTTGTAAAAGCCAACTGGGGCTCAGTGATCAAGTTTTCTTCATGAAAATATTTGAGCATATGTTAAACACTGGCTCTTAGCTTATTCTCCCAACACACACACACACACACACACACACACACAGTCATACTTTTTTTGTGTGTAGAATAATGTATATATATAT